GCAACAGAACCTGCCACAACTTCATCACTAAATGAGAATGCAAACTTATACATTAGCAAAACAGTTGCTCTCCCCGTCTGGCTCATTGCTGTTATCGCTGGGGGTGCCGTGATTACCACTCTCGCTGTCACTACAATTATATGGATTTTGTGCAAAATGAGACAAAGGTAAGATAACTATAAATTTTATACATCAAATGAGGAATGATCCTAGCAGTTGTGAACACAATTTATGCAACTGCCTAAGAGGCCTGAAGAAAATTCAGGACTTCAACAAGATTTGAACCCATAAACTCGCGGTAGAAGTGTAAGGAGCCTGAAAAAAATGAAGTCCTGAATTTTTTTCGGGCTTCTTATGCAATTGCATAAATCCCGTTCACAACTGCGAGGATCGTTCTTCATTTGATTTCATTTCCACAGTTCTCATATGATATATTTCATAGACCAAAATGTATACATTTAAAACATTCATCATTTTCACGGGAACATATGAACACCTAATTAACCAGCTCCCAACATAAGTGCCTTCATAGCTTAGTTGGTTCGAGCATACTACTTACTACTCACCAGTGCAAATTTTAGCGAAACATAAATTTATTGTGTTTTAATTTTGCTTTAGGAGTCGCAGGAGACAGAAAAGAAGGACAAATAAAGGTAAGAATGCAGTTTTACTGTTTCTTTTTGGTTGTCTCTTGAGAACGGTAGTATATTGTGCCTCGTTGTTGTTGTCGTTTTGTGTCCGGGCTTTAATGTACAACCTGTAGTTGCTTTAACGCACTTTCACACAGGTTGATGTGATTCTAGTTGCGATTTTTTAAACGTTTTTTGATGCATGTGCAAACTGAGGGGTTGTTTTGATGGGGAATTTACGCTGCAAAATTCTTTTTCCAGCGATTTAATACAGGAGAGGTACAAAAAGGCTATGATTGGACATCCTAAGGAGTATGTTGTGTATTCGCTATTGCAGTTCTCCCATAATGCTCCTTGTTTGCCCCCCAAACCCCCCCCCCCCACCCACCAAAACAAAAATTGCATAAGTATTGTCTTCAATTTCTCCTGGGACAACTGCAATAGCCAGGAGAAATGAGAAACAAAAGTTTTCCAAAACTTTTTTGGGGGGTGGGGTGGGGGCTGCAAATGGCGAATGGGTAATGGAACAAAGTAATTAATGTAACACAGTCATTACGTAGTGACCTAAAACCGTAATATCCTAGCTCGTGACATAGCACCTTTAAACAAACCATTTCCTCTTTTTGTCTTCCACCAGAAAATCCGTTATACAATAACGATGACGATACGGTTATCACTTTTACGACCTCAGGCTTTGCGTCGGGAGGTAGTGAAGGAGGGCATGCCAGGGCGGGAAGCCCCTGTCGAAAAGGTTACGCAGTCCTGAAGCCTGGACCACAGAGGTGTAAGTCTGACTATCAAAGGCTTCTGAAACCCGGTGAAGGTAGGATAAGTTACAGGGTATTTTCTAGACTGTGTGTTTGTATACAGACAGCAATACCGTAAACTGCCGCTTATAATTCCCCTCAGTTCTGTTAGTTACAGGCCATCTACCTATGAACCAAAAAAAATCTGATTGTGAGCTGCCTGGATATGACCCCCTCCAAATGTATTGATATGAATTCCATAAAAAATCTCATTGATAATAGAAGTCTGTAAAAACTGAATACCAAATAAACAGTACGATGTGAAAGTACTGCTGAAGATATTTCATTTGAATGGCAACATTATAGGGTTTCAACTACAGATTCAAAAGTTAGAACTACGTACTAAATCAATAGCACCATGTGAAAGCACTGCTGAAAAGGTTTCACTTGAATGGTCACACCAGAGGGTTTCATATACAGACTGAAAAGTTGGTACTAAATACTAAAGAAATAGTACCATGTGAAAGTATTGCTGAAGAGGTTTCATTTGAGCTGTCACACCATGACGTTTCTTCCGCAGACTCAAAAGTTAAAACAGGGGCACCCAACGATAATTTTTGGAAATTATCTGTTCGGAAGACGATTTGAGATCTAGAATTTTTGGAACATTTGTTGTTAAATTTCTTGCTTCCCTGCCTCTCCTAGGATTTTCGCCCCCCCCCCCCCAAAAAAAAATTGGTATCATTTCCCATTTTTAACGGATTTTTACCCTAAAAAGGTCACCTAGTATTTTCGGGAACCTTTTTTCTGGCTGAAATTTTCGAAAAGGTAAGTTTTGATCTCTCTAATTTTCGGATCACTAGACTTTCAGCTAGGAAATCCGAACAGATGAATAATTTTTAGGGGATAAAAATACACCTATAACTACCGTTTAATTACTGAAATACGTTCAACAATGCTATGTTTAAGTGGTTTGAACTATATTCTCGTTGGGTGCCCCTGTTAAAAGTACCTTACCAGATTTTTTTTCTGTGTTTGTTTAGATGTCGCAGGATATTTAGTCCCAATGGAGCAAAGATCGTCAGTTCTTCCATCGACACCTGTAGAAACAGTGCCTTCGTTTACGGAAGATACAGCAATATACAGCGAAGCCAATAGTCCACCGCCCCAAGACAAAGTCAAGAGTAAAGATTATGACTACGCTAAACAAGATGATGTCTGCGTGATTCGGTCGAGCTTAGAGAATTTGGATGAAAATAAAACAAACGAAAGAGAGACAGGTTATGGTCATAGCAGAGAACACAGTAATAGTAACGAGACTGACCCCCCGTCGCCTTTTTATGCTGTGATTGAAGTGGCGGACTCAGGAGGATTGCCCGCTGATGAGGCGACCTCGTCAGAAAATGAACTGGATACTGATTCTGTACCAGAGTATATGGAAGTTTTACCTGATGAAGATTCAGAGAGTGGAAATCCTTTGACAAAGGGAAATTGTGTGGCATAATATGGCTGATGAGACCTTATTTGTCATCCTGGGATATTGACTACAACGACGATGACCTTGACAATGACCTTGACAATGACTTTGATAATGATGATAGTGATGATGATGATGATGATGATGATGATGATAGTGATGATGATGATGATGATGATGATAGTGATGATGATGATGATAATGATGATGATGATGATGATGATGATGATGATGATGATAGTGATGATGATGATGATGATGAAGGCAATGATCAGTCATGACGATGATGACGATGAAGTTTACGTTGACAATAACTATAATGATAATGGTGATGACGACAATGAAAGGGCTCGCACTGTCTTAAAAAGTCCTTGAATTTTATGGAGAGTCCTTGAAAAGTCCGTAGATTCCATTTTTCCTTGAAAAGTCTTCAAACTTCTGTGCAAGTCCTTGAAAATTCCTTGAATTTTCTTCAACTTTTTTTTTAATGCTTTTTAGTTTTCAAAGACAGAATATAAGTCATAGCCTAGAGACGTTAATGGTGATTTATGTAAAGCGTTATTTGTTTTATATATGAATCAACTATCAGTTTAAAACAAGTGAACTGAAAAATGTAAAGAAGTTGATGGAGCCAGCATTTCTAGCGTTAATATCATGATAGAATGGACTGGGAATGTAATGTACCTTTTTGTACAATCTGTGAAATTACATTCCTGGTAGGTGGTCCTTGAAAATCGAATCTGGTCCTTTGAAAAGCCCTCAAAAAGTCTTTGAAAAATAGTTTCAATTATTTGTATGAACCCTGGATGGCGATAATGATGATGACGACTAAGATGACGTTTACGTTGACTTTGAGGATGATGATGAGAATGGCGTTAATTATGATACTAAGAATAATTAATATTGTTAGGTTAAAACTAAGAAGTTCAAAGCTTAGCTAAGGAAAAGGCTGTGCAGTTTTAAAGATTTCTATATTATATTTGCGCAACAAGGATTTCGGCGCTGTTTCGCAGACGGAGTTTGCCAGAGTTAAGTTTCGTGTGTGGCGCAGGCTACAGAATGTAATATATTTTATAAAATATTGTTAACAATACTTTCTTTTGCATATGGAGAAATCCTGAGAAAACAGCCGACATTTGGGGACGCTACTACTGTTTTCCCCGCCAAATGACGTCTGAGAAACGTCGTGCCGTGTGGGAAATTTGATTCAACCAATCAGAAGCACTACCCAGATCTAGGTAGTGACGCGTCATCAGTATGGAATTTCTACGCTCGTTTTTCAGACGTCATTTGACTGAGAAACCTGTGTTAGCGTCGCCAAATGACAAATTTATGTGAGTTCCGAAGATTTTAAAAGATGTAAAAGGATTTAAGTATATGTATGCCTTTTGAACAAAGAGGAAAACAGAGAAAATTGACCTACAGCTTAAGAACATCGATTTCTACTTTTTATGCAAGAAAGAGTGGCGATATAAAAGATTCTAACTCAAAGATTATTTACTAATAGTAATAATAATTTTAATACCTGTACTCAAATAGGAATAAAAACATTATAGTGAAAGCTGGTTTTCAGAAATGATATATAGCCATAATAATCCAAAATCTGTATTGTTTTGTGAACCACCAAAGCCGTAGGTTTGTAACCTTGGTAAAAAGCTCCCTCTGCTTCCTCACGTCTCTTGATGAAATTATTCCTAGAGGAGACAATGTTTTTCTTTGTTTAAGTTTCATTAGCCCCTGAAAAAGGTTTGCCTCCTAAACCAACATTTTGAAACGTCTTTTTTGTTTCATTATTTTTAGCCTACGTAGCAAGCGCTTAGAAATAGTGGGCGAAAAAGAGAACGAGCGCGCGCGAGGGAGACACGCATATCTCCTTCTCGCGCTCGTTTTTTCTTGTGCCCACTACTTCCAAGCGCCTGTTACGCAGGCTACATTATTTTATTTACTTTATATTTTTCTTTCAAACTGTTCATACATTGATCCTGACCACAGTTGTTCAAAGGTGGATAACACGGATCATTTTGCGTCTCTGGTAAACTGCCCACCTACCCCTCCCCAAAGCCAAAATCAATACTTACTTTTCACTTAGGGCAAAACGTTGGCTTGGGAGGGGGTAGGCGAGCAGTTTTCCAGAAACGTATATCCAATGAATACACTCTCTATCTAGTGGATAATGCAATTGGTTTCCCTAAGGATAGTGATTTATTTAATTTCGTTTGCGGTTTAAAATAGTCTATAGCAATGGCGGATCTAGACCTTCAGATAAGAGAGGGGGCGCCTGGTCATCCACACCCTGAGGTGGGGGAGGGGGGTCCGGTCTCAAAATAAATCATTGTTTTTTCCTTCCAGCGGGCCTCAGCACATGTATTTCCGGGCTCTTCGCAGGCTACACTTGCCTTCGCTCGCCTGAAAAACGCGAAAAAATAACGCCTGCTGTGTAGGCTATCACCCCTGGGCCGAGGTTAAAGTTGGAATTTATGAAAAAAAAAAATGCCCAAAGGCAAGAAGAGAAGGCCTTGTCTGTTAAAAACGGAATGAAGAGACTGTGCGGATTAGCTAACAGTTGTGTCTGTTGAATCAATGCCTTCACTTTTGAGACTTCTCATATTGATAATAAATATTTAAAAGCCCTGGGTACAGTTTTATCGTTGAGCTGCATTTTTTTAATAAAAAGGGCATAATCTTGAAAAAGGGAAATCAGATCAGCAAGTGTTTTTCGTTCACGAGAGAAAATTTCACGACTTTGTCAGTTTTTCTTTTACGTTTTCTGTTCTCGCCGAATTTAGAGCGCTTACCATTTGTACGGAAATTTCGGTGAAAAATTTCCGTCAAATGTTGCTGGTATTTTGTTTTTGTCAGCTAAAACAGGAACGGGATTGAGTTGTACCATTTACAAAATACCGGTAAATTTTTCGCTTTCTCTCGACCTGAAGCCTGGCACTGGTAATCCAAACAAGTGGTACAGACAATTTCGGTCGTTTCAGAAAAACGGGAAAAAAAAATAACTCGAAAGATATTACTTTTTACGGAAAATTTCCACCGGAATGAACCGTTCCATTTGAATTCTCCCCAAAATTTCTGGGTTTTCCATGCAAATGGTAAGCGCTCTTAATAACCGGTTTTTTCTGCCTTACAAATGGTTCACTTGCACAAGATCTTTTCAAAGAATTTGTTTGAAATATTAATTAACCTTAATTACAAGTCCCAGGTGCCCCGAGGTGTGTGTGGTAAACAACCCTTGTTCTTGCTACATAGGCACGTGTGTTACGCCGCAAAATGTAACAATTGACGCAAAATGTAACATTAACGCGAAATGTAACAACTTTTGACGCGAAATGTAACATTAACCCGAAATGTAACAACTTTTGACGCAAAATGTAACAACTTTTTAACGCGAAATGTAACAACTTTTTGACGCAAAATGTAACAATATTTTTAACGCGAAATGTAACAAGCAAAATGTTACAGCCTTGAAATAACTGAGAGACTTGGACATGAGCCTTGTAGATAAAGTGTAAATTGTCTGGTGGTTACGAAAACAGTTTATTTATAAAGATTTCTTATAATATCAAATACACTCACAAAGGTCGTAAAACAGATTACAAAAAAGTTACAAGTCATGTATAACCTTGGAAAAGCAGTATTGACAATAACAACAACGCTAACTTATTAAACATAACGTGTGGAAAATATCCCAAGCTATACGAAAAGAATATGACTAGAAATGTGAACAATAACTCCGTAGGAAACACGCACCAATCAGCAGATGAAAAAGTTAAAAGTAAAAGTTAAGAAAGGTAATCTTTCAAACGAAAATTTTGAACGTAGTTAATAAGACAGATATGAAATTTCTCATTTCTTACCGGACTTCCAGTAAATGTGAGAAATTTCATACCAACCCAGTCCTGCTGCCTTAAAACTTAACCATGCCGACGCCC